CCTTTGAGGAAACCATCATATCTGCCAGATCCATCAGAGGAGGCATCAGCCAGCCTGTGAAATTGATCATCTGCTCAGGAGATGGGAGAGGATGGCTCAGAGGGGACATATTTTACTGGCTCCTTTAAATACTTAATGCCATAAGGCGCCATGAGCCCGGCCGTGAAAAAAAAGAAAAAAAAAGGGAATGTTCAGATCCATGGCAGTCAAAGCGCTCAGACTGAAATTGCTTTTAGGTGTAGCAGGGATATGATATGAGCATCTAAAAGGCTTTTAATAAACAATACAATATCCCAGAGTTAAGTCACGCTATCACTTTCCATTCACCACTAAACCTGATATAGAAAAGAGCAAAAGCCATAATATTGACTTTGAGTTCCACAATATATTTGCATTGGAAATGGAGATGCTGGTGATCTTGAGCCGAGTGCCATCGGTCAGCGTGCGACCGAGGGGGAACGATGTCTTCTTTTCAGCATGTTGATATGAATGGCTGATTATTAATGTTATTATAACAGGCACGCTGGATCCCCTGGCAAAGAAAGCGCTCAGCTATCATTATTGCATCACAGTGCAGGGGATGGTAATTACTACCCAGAAACTTTTCTGCACCTTTCCAATTATACGGTACATCACGTTCCCATGGGTATTGTATAACCAGCAAGGAATGAGTATATTAAAAAAGAAAAAAAAAAGAATAATAAAGGAAGAACGGACAAAACACACACACATGCACAATAGATGCACACATATATCAGACTGTATTAGTGTAGCTGCATGTGCTGTCAGTACCATTAGTGTAAAAGAATATTCTGGCCTCAGTACAAGCTAAGCTCAGTTGAAGGCATTATAATTTTGATTACCGCAAATAAATACAATAAATCAACTCATCATTTTCTTTCGTTTTTGTTTTCTTTAAAAACGAAAAAAACAGATTAAGGTGAGGTCAATTTTTGATTCTTTCCTTCTTTCTTTCTTTTGTGTTGCTGCTATGCTAGTGTTATTTTAATATCAATGACAAGTGGATAATAATATACCAAAATTACTAAAACTAAAATTTAAATAAAACAGAATATAATATAATATATAAATTCATATAAAAATAAATTATTGACAACATTTATTTTTTTTATTAATTTATATATTATATTATATTCTGTTTTATTTAAATGTTAGTTTTAGTAATTTTGGTATATTATTATTATTATTTTAAATGATATTATTATTAGCAGCAATAGTAGTAGTAGTTCAGTAAAAAAAAAAAATAATAATATTTTTTTGGATGTTAACGTTAACCTCAGGCTGTACTATTGAAACGGTGAGTATTTTAACATTAACAGATTGGCCCAATTTACTTCCATTGTAAGAGCCTCACTCTAACCTAGGAATTTTTTTTTTTTTTTT